CTGCTTTATTCTTTTAAATGGATACATTAATCGTGTTTATTATATATTTTTTTTATTAAAGTGGAAATCAGTTTACAAAACTTGACTGACTGCTTCACTTCCACTTTAAAACATCCCTCAAAAGAGCAAAGTTAACATGGGAATGTGTTTACAGTGTTTTTGGAATGAAGGAAGCCCCGATGATGTATTTAGAAGGGCTGGGTATTGGCACAAATTATTTTATTTTTATAAATAATAAATTAAATTATTTTTATATTTATTTATTTTTTTGTCGTAGAGTGCACTGTGACAAACATACTCCCGGTTCACCCAAAAGTTAAGATTCTGTCATAATTTACTCTCCCTCATGTTGTTTTAATTTAGATTAAATTTAGGCTTTTATTCACATATAAACATTGATCATCACACATACATAGATCTCATCAAATATGGCAAACACGGAAGCTCAACATGCCTGCTAGACAAGCGGGGACCAATGAGGTTTGCTTTGGCACATGAAGCAAGCAAGGTTGAGTATGTATGTGTAGGTACGCTGATCAAAGATTATATGTGCATAAAGGCCTGCAGACTTTGTAAAGGGTTTTAGGAAAAATTGGGCACCATTCACTAAACAAACGAGGATCATACTTTGCCAAACTTTCAAGATGTTCTAAAGCAAAAACACACAGCCTTGTTGCCAAGACAAATGAAACAATGTGTTCTAAAGTTGGCCCAAAATATAAAAAAATGTTTGATATCCTTCAACTGGAAGGAATTATAATCTGAAGCTTAAAAAAAAAAAAAAAAATCTGTGCCCATCATACACTATGTGGTTTCTGTGAAATCGACTGCCCAATAATGCACCTTGGTTCTGACTATCCGTAACTAGCATCGGATGAAGCGTCCAGACTATAAATTGGGTCAAAATTCCAGACAAAAGTTGTGAAGTGTTTTCCAGCTTTAAAGCTATCTTGTCTCTTCAGAAGACTTCTTGTATTAAACAGCTCTGTTCATATGGATTACTTTTAAGATATCTCAATGAATTTTTTGACAAATTAAAGTTTTGGCTGCATTGACTTTCAATGGATGGACAAAAATGAAGAGAGAATATTAAAAATGTCTTCATTTGTGTGCCGAAGAAAAACAAAAGTCTTACGGTCTTGACATTAGGGCGAGTAAATGATGACAGAATCTCCATTTCTGGGTGAACTATTTCTTTCATTTTCTCATTTGTGCATTTTGTAATATTTTGGGCCCTTACAGGTAGTGTTGCTTTCGTCAACGAAAATTATGACTAAATATCGTCGTCAACGAACCTTTATCACGTGACGAAAACGAGACGAAAATGCTGGTCATGTGACGATGACTATAATTAAATGTATAATGCAATATCGTTGACGAATAAAAACGAGACTAAATGTGGTTTACAAAATAAAAACTATGCTAAAATGTCTCTTCATTTTCGTTGACCAAAACGAGACGAAACGAAATGTTATAACGTTATTTCGTCTCGTTTAGTCGCGTTATTATTATTATTTTGCAGTATTTCTGTTTCCTGTGTCTCACTTCAGGGGCTGCATCAGGTCACACTGCGCAGACGCAGGCGACGTCACTTCCTCAAGCCCCACTCGCGGCATTATTTAGACCAGTGTTTATGAGTGTTTCCCAACCGGGGTCTGTCGAGAGCAGGGGTGCCGTGTAAAAACTAGACTAAAAAGAGTATGAACGTGACTAAAACTAATAAAAACTAAAATGACAGTTTCACACAAAGACTAGACTAAAACTAAAATTAAAACAGGCCGCCAAAAACAACACTACTTACAGGTTAATAAAGCAAATATAATGCAGCATTATGTTGCAAGATTTGGAATGACGTAGAAATTTAAATAATAAAATCCCACATGTGATGTTAAAAATGTTTTACTTGTGCGCTAAAAATAGGCATGCATTAAAATGATCTTGTGGTTTTAAGAATGATATTTGATCTTGCAATTGATGGTAAAGATATATATTTTTTTTTTTTTACCCAGCTCTAGTATTTACTGAAAAAACATTTAACAATTTTGAAAAAGCTTATGACATCCCCAAGAATTCTTCTTTATTCTACTCTCTTCTTTAGTTCTACTCTCACAACACAACAACATTTCAAGTATGTTAACGCTACTCTGCTGCTAAATGTCATGAAGGTTATGTTAAGGCCCCTCAAACTATAAAATGATCTTTAACAGATGAGGACTGAACATATACAACCTGGGACATACAGTGTACTGGTGACCTGACTGACATAATGAAAAGACTGTGAACAGAGAGAGCAGGGATATGTTTGTGTGTGTGTGTGTGTGTGTTTTGTTGGGGTGTACGGACCTCTTCGTTGAGGTTGCTGACCAGGAGCACTCCGCCAGGTCCCGAATGTCCAGACAACGCCACCCTCCCTGCTGCTGCCGCCGCCGCCGCCGCTGCACTCAGAGGGCTGATGGCCCCTATAGAGACAGAGAAGAGAAGCCGGACCATGTCAGCCCACACAGCCCAGAAGAGCCAAAAGCTCAGCATCTCAGGCGGATCTGCCCTGTGGCCATGCATTCTATCTGTCTGCACCCACCACACCAAGCGCATCCAGTTACGCAGCCAACAGCACAGACCTCGGGCAAACCCACATCCCAGAGTCAATATCTGCCGCTAGGCAGATCACTATCTGAACCGATTTCACACAGACTGGCGCTCTAGAGCAATATCCGAAAACAAAATTGCTTTTAGGGCCCTGTCTGCTTGCTGTAGTTAGTCGCTCAATAGGCCGCTCTGCTTTAGCTAAAGGGAACTTGTGTTTGGCAGTTTGGATTGCCAGTCTGTCTGAAATACGGGCCCCTAATTAGTGTGCATGTCAATCTATTACGTCAGGCCCATAATGCCGAATGGAAGGGCTTATTGTTGCAGCTTCAGATTTATGCTTTGACAAATAGCGACACTGTTTATGAATCCTGCATGTCAAGTCAGGACAAATGGTTGGGGTGGTTTCAACATGAAAGCCCTGCCAATTCTGACAGCACTGGAAACGTCCCTGTCCTTCAGAGGGAAGAGCGCATTCAAGTAGGGTTAGAAAATCAAAAGGAAAAAGGAAAGTAAATGGAAGAATAGGTACCTAGAGAAGATGGAAACCCTCCACCACTAGAGTAGGAAGTTGCCATTCCAGAGGGAGTACCTAAGGAGAACGTGTACAGTCAAAGTCTTACGGGATCAAACACAGACTGGGGGCTGTGGAAGCGGCAAAAACGTAAAGCAACGTGTTTGAATGGCACATCAATTAGACCGGATTGCATTTCAGGCACTATTGACCCATTTTCCACTAAGAACTAGAAAACTCTCATGAATCATAATAGAGGGGAAGCATTCACACCTCTACTCTGTTCTGAAGCTATCAGGGTTTCTGCAGACTTGAACAAGTTAAATTTAAGACTTTTTAAGACCTTTTTAATACCACCTTATATGAAATTTAAGACCTAAACCTGTAATGGAAATACACATTTTATTACATACATATATGTAATATTTAATGTGTATAAATTAAAAAGAAAACAAAATATCAATGCTGTAATAAATGGTATTTATTACCATGATATACAGTGAACTTTTCATGTCAGCAGACAATATTCCATGCAAAATATCCCCACAAAATAACTGCATCACTGAGATTTTTGGTGGAGTAAACAATTTATTCTGAAGCAATATTTTCATCAGTGTTCTATCAGCTTTTACATACTTAAATCTGCATATTTA